GCAATATGTAGACAATGGTTCATTCATTTAGTTATGTGTCCTATATTTTATTCAAATATATACATTTTGCAGGTTTAATTAAAATGCCTAGAGCTTCATGGGAGGAAAAACAAGTTACATAAATGCCAGGCAGCCCTTTGAAAAACATCTAGTACCTTTAATACACAAAGGCAAGTGTGAAGAGGATTCTAAGTGTTTTATACATCGTGTTCAGAATTTAGCTGAGATTGTCCTGAGAAAAACTAAAGGAAGAAAAATAGGTTGCATTGGTCTGTGCCTGTATGAATTGTAGAACTACATCATTTGCTGTAATGATAATTGGCTGTGTCTGCCCAGATTTATTGAGATGCATACACAGATAATCAAAGTGTCAAATCGTTCTGTAATGTAGACATATGGTGGTTGAAACTGTCCTAATAGTGGCACAGCTGATAGGGAAATATGGAATTTCCAGAGTGCTAAGCAACAAAATTTCTATTTCTCTATATGGAAAGAGTATCAATTAACCTGATATTTGGATATGTACATGTTTAATTTATGGCTACATATACATATTCTTGGCAATAATGTCAAAATAGTTCTTATGTAATTAATACTTATCAATCATGACAAGTTTTAATGTGAGGTACAGGGATGAAATTATTTTTTGCTGCTCTTGTAAGTAAAGACCTTATTTCCAGGGTCACTTTTTATATTAAAATTAGATAGAAGTAAGAGCCTCAGGAAGTAGTTAGAGATGACAATTTATGGAGTTTCCTATGAGAGCCATAAACCCAACTTTTCGTCTCCTAATGTTTCCCAGATGGCTGATGCCCGGAATGCTGGAGATTTAGCCTAAAAGAGTATAGCTCCTCATAATTCCAGCCAGTGGTCAATTAGCTGAGTTGATTAAAGCATCCCCTGGAAGCCAAGTCAAAGATCTGAATGATTTCATATTTTCAGATTTGTTGCTGCTTGTTCAATGGCCATAATCCAAAATATGTAACCCTGGACATGTCAACAATGCATGCTCCTTGCAGTAGAAACAGTATGTGGCTGTGACCATGCATCCATGTGCCTTGAGAAACAACTTAGAGTGCCGGTTCTTGACTTTTTTGTAAACAAAGGCTCATCCATTATTAACGTCCTCAGCACCATGAGTTCTCCCTACATCATACTAGCTAAAAAGTAGATTAGGGCATTGGTTAGAACTCCATTCAATGCTTCTTTAGTCATACTCGTGCTATTTGAGACAGTAAACTTAACCTTGAGTTTCAATTTCCCTTAAAACAAACAAAAAAAAATTAACACTAACGTCAGGAGGTTGTAAAAGTTACAAACTTTCATTTATAAAATAAATATGTCACAGGTATGTAGCATGCTTTATGTTAGTACATTACATAGGGGTGACTACAGTTAATCGTACTCTATTGCACATTTGAAAGTTCCTGTAAGAGAGTAAATCCTAAAAGTCCTCATCACAAGAAGAAAATTTATAACTATGTATGGGGACAGATCTTAATTAGACTTATTGTGCCTTCTGCAGTACATACAAATATCAAATTATTATGTTGTGTGTCTGAAGCTAATGTGCGTTTCAGTTAGACTCAGAAGAAGGTTATCATGACCATTAGGTGAGATGATATATGGGATATTCATAGCACAGTGCCTGACAAAAGATGGGCAATCCGTCACTACTCATTGAATGAATTTTTCATCCAAGTGTACTCTATAGAAAGAGAAGTACAAAGGGAAGTCCCACCGAGAAACAAGTGGCGTTAGGTATGAAATCAAGACGAATTAGTCTTCAACAGCTGCCCTTTCAATAGGCAGTCTGGTTCTATTCAAACTACAGGAGAAAAAGGCAAAAAAGAAAAAAATCCTACACTAGTGCTTCTGAGATTTTGTATGCTTTTGAATCACCCAAGAATTTCTTAAATTTTATTTTTGATTTTAAAGAGAGGGGAAGAGAGGGAGAAAAAAAGGGAGAAAAGCATCGATGTGAGTGAGAAACATTGAATGATTGCTTTCCATACACAACCTGATAGGGGATGAAACCTGCAACCCAGGCATGTGCCCTATCCAGGAATCAGACTGGTGACCTTTTGGTTTGTGGGCTGACACCCAGCCAACTGAGCCACATGGGCTGCAGCCTAAGAATTTTTTTAAATGCAAGTTATGACTCAGTGGGTCGGGTCTGAGAGACTGCATTTCTAGCAACCTCCAGGTGATGTATATGCTGCATGTTCACTGATTACACTTTAAGCAAGTCCCAGAACACATGATGGCATGGCACTTTAAGAAATACTGTATTAAAATTAAATTCATTTGATTATTCACTTGGCCGAAGATTGTTTTGTGTCTACTACGGTGCAGGCACTGTTTTATGTTCTAAGTATAAAATAATGATCAAGACAGATAAGGATGATGCCCTCATTGGGCTTTCAATAGAATGGTAGTATCTGACAGTAAACATGTAAACAACTAATTAAAATATTCTCTAGTGGTGATTAAAACTGTAACGAACATTAAATGAAGTTACTATGAGACTGTGTGTGGTCCATTAAGGCTCCTCTAGGAAGGAGACAATAGAACTGAAACCTGAATGTTGAGAAGCCTCATACAGTGTGTGAAGATCTGAAATTTTCATGAAAAAGGACTGCAAAGGCCCAAAGCAGTGTGAGATTGGTCTGTGGGAGAAGAGGGAAAAAGCTGTTGTGGCTAGATCAAAATGACATCATCTGGATGTGAGACAATGGTGGGAGCAATCAGAGGGGAAATAGGGACACGGTCACACCTGACAAAGTTGGGGGAATGTAGTAAAGGCTGAATCCAAAAGAAATCTTAGAAGTTAAGTCCACAATACATCTGAACAGCTCCACAGAGAGATAAGGTGCACTCTAGAGAAAACGTGCCTACAGGAAAGTACACATGGCCATGCAGAACAACATAAGTGAAAAAGAACTGACTTAAGGTATGGGACACAGTTGAAGAAAAAAATAACTCAAAAAGAAAAATAATTTAAATTGTACATCCCTTAGGTTTACACTACAAGAAATAAAAATACATTATTTAAGCCATGGGAATTAACGAATCGTATGCATGGAGAACACTCCCAATTGCTGCAGACTGAATTAATTTTTTCTGAGTAGAAATGGTTAAATAACTATTAGAGAAGACATAAAACTATAATTCCTGGTTGACTATAAGCTGTAGCCCCAGATTTGTCTTACTTTCCACAGACTATTGGGAATGAAAGTGAAAGAGAGTAGCTAGAACAATAAAAGATAGCAGTGAAGGAAATAAGACATATACAAACCCCTTCTTGCACCAAGAGAAAAAGTCTAGTAGGGAAAATAGTCATCATTATTATATCAACTATAAAATATTAAATGTCTAGTATTATGAGTTTTTCCTTTTCCTATGTACCTTTAAATCCACAATCTATCATATTGTTTTATTGAAATAAAAGCCACACCCTAAAGCCAATACAATCAAAAGAGAACCCACATATCAGAGTACCTAAGGAACAATGAATGATATTATGATGGCTCAATTGTCATTTAGTGAATCTTACTTACCAATGAGTGTGTCTAATAATTTAAGGCCTGCAAACTCGTAGCTATTAACATGTAAGTGCATTTCAATTGACTTCTGATTTTGTCTAATGATTGAAGGCCCTGAAGACTAGTAGCTATTAACGTGTTAGAGCATTTCCAATTGATTTCTGATTTTCTGTCTTATTTTTCATATATGGGGGCCCCTCGCCTTCCGTCCGTGAGGAACAGCTTTGATGCGTTTGTCTAGTAGTGGTGGAGGGGGAGCATAGTGAGTCATCCTTTGTCACCTGATGCCTATTGCCCTGAGGCACACAGTTCTGACACATTCATCCAGAATTATGCTTATATTCTGTGGAAAAATAGCAGAATGATTTTGCTTATTTGTGTATTATTTCACTTTGTTCCACTGACCTCATCAGCATCCTGTATTCGCCAGCTAAGCCACGGAGTTCAGACTTTTCCCATGCTCTATTCTCATTATTTATGTACTTCTTTTGGTTACCTCTGGCATTTATTAATGGCAACAATATTTTCTTTCTCAATGACCTTTTGTATATTTCATTGTGTTCCTTCAACAAATAGTAAGTGAGTGCCAGTCTCTAGAACTTCAAGGCCAAGGGAGGAGATGGAGTGAGATGAAGCATGTGGGTCCAAATGGTCTGGACCCAAGAGCCAGGGCGTTTGAGGTGTTGTAAGCTTTCAAAAAATACGGTCTCTGTCTTAAGAGCAGCAGGAAACCACTGAATAGTTTTAAGTACGTAAGCGATACCATTTTATTTCCACTATTTCCTGACTATTTCATTTTTCTCCCCCTCTGCCAATGGGATCACCTTAAACAGTGGTTTTATAATGCGATCCTATCATTTACATTTTCTGGTTATTTCCAGCTAATGAACTCATTTTTTTAATGAAAGAAAAAGGTTGCCAATTGTACAAAATTAAATTCTCTGAGAGACATAAGAGTGTCTGCAAACAGAGATACCTGTGAGTTGGGTCATGAAAACATATGCTGCATGCTGTGAATAGAGTCATCATTTATAAATGATGACTCATCTCCAGTAACAAAATAAAGTAGAAAACCTATTTCATTGATGCTCCTTATTGTAAGCATCATAATATTTTAAGTATAAAAATTACTGGGATTTTAATATTTTAAGGATAAAAATTACTGGGAAAGTATTTGCAATATAAAAATACTTTTAACAATGTGCTTAATCTACATACCTAAATTTCATATAATAAAAGATGATATATAGATAGATATCCATCCCTAAATGAGGCTTTTTATTATACATATTTTTTTTTCTGGCATTAACATCTGGCTAGTCACTCTTTTGGCTTTACTTTTAACTAAGAACAAAAGGGCTATAACCTAATTTATCTTGGTGCCCATCTGGTTTCAATTGCTCATTTTACATTTACTCAGAAATGATAGATTGTCGGTGATGATGTCTTTCCCAGGAGAAGAAGTTGACAGACAGCTATGCAGAGATGCCATCTTCCCCATCCCCGTCGCCTGTTATGCTCCATGCCCAAGGGACTGTGTGCTCAGCACGTGGTCTGCGTGGTCCTCCTGCTCACACACCTGCTCGGGGAAAACCACAGAAGGGAAACAGATACGAGCGCGCTCCATTCTGGCCTATGCGGGTGAGGAAGGTAAGGTCATCAGCTTCAGAAGGCACTGAGGTTCCTTTCAGAAGTTGGCATGCATTCTCTTTGTCTTGCCTGGAGAAGATGATGTTCTAGAAAAACCGACTTCCAGAAATCCAGCAATCCAAGGAGATTTTATATGTGTTAATATAATGGGCAGCTTTCTTATCTTCCCCCAAATTAATCTTCTTTTTTTATTTTATTTTAATTAATTTTTCAAATACATTTGTCTCTGCCAACCCTCCACCACTTTCCCTTGCCCCCTCCCTCCTTCCTTCCCTCAGCTCTTCCCCTTTGGTTTTGTCCATGAGTCCTTGCTATATGTTCCTTGACTTTCCCCGTCCCTTCCTTTTCTCCGCCCCCCCTCCCTCCTTCCCTCTTGTCTCTGTTGATTTCCAAAATTAATCTTGAAAACAGGTCTCTAATAAAAAAAGAAAGACTTTTAAAAGCGAACTCACTTTGCCTTTTCTCCTACTTAATAATTCAAATTCTTTCCAGTTCAAAGCATTAAACTTGTGAAAAGATCTGAAAATGGCTCCCAAAATTCCACGATAGGTTTCATTGTTTTTTCCCTATTTCAGCAGTTTTTCTCTCTGAAATCACACTGTACCTTCTCATATGTAGGCATATGTATTCAATAATAGAGTTAATTTAAAAATAAACACCAGCATGGCTATTGCTTGACTAAAAAATTTACAAGTGTTTTCAACCAGTTTTCTGACCATGGGCTCTGAGATCCATGTTTCGTATATAGATTGTGTTCATTTTTAAACATATTGTTCTTCAGTCACTTCCTCCACCTGGGAAGTGGTTTGTCATATATCCGTACCTCAATTGTGTTTGCTTTATTATCAGGAAATATAAGACTCTTGGTAATTGTCTCTCAAGCTTATATCCAAATGCTAATTTGGCCTCTGTGTGACTTGGTGATACAATGTCCTACTTAATCTTGTCACTCTGGAAAACAACACAAGAGTTAGGAAAAGACAGAAGTAAATCAGGTTCCCTCACATTGAGGCATGTCCTATCTCAAGAATATATAGGTGTATGTTACTTAAATATTATGAAACTGAATGACTTTTCTCATTCAAATGGTAAATACTGATTTCTATTTGTAATAAACATGTGTTTCACTATGTATACTCCCAAATACTTAACTTTGGAGGAGTTTTCAAGTTGCCTATTTTATTTTTCTATTTATGAAACATTTTAGTGATGGCAACCTTGTAGTAGTCTTGTTTGATCAAACTTACTATCTGTGTATGTGCAATAATATCTATTAAAAACATAATTCCTTGACCTTATGACATGAGAGAAAGCAATATATTTAAAACAGTTGACATATGGGGAAATTTCTAATTTTCTATAAAGTGTCCATAAACTTTTTTCCTATCACCTTAATATAAATTTAATTATTTTCTACCAAAAAAAAGTATATCTCTGGAACCTAATAGAAAAGAAGCACCTTTTAGAGAGAAAACTGTATTCTCTGTGTTGTCAAGCAATAACTCTAACCTTGTATAGATTATATTCAGACTTCAAACTCTATCAGCTCAGATTATGTCTTGAACTTCATTAAAATTAGATCTGTGGTCACCCTGCTTGCTATAAATCCATTATACTCTGCAGACAGTTGCTGTGTGACTAGTAATGAGTGACTTTTCGCCCCATGAGTCACATGACAGAGATTTTGCCGTGCTTGCAGAACTCACCAGATCATTATTTCTATAGACATGATGCTTCACACTGAAAGGTCATGAAATGCTTTAAAGGCAGAAATTTATGATTTCTCTTTGATATGTATCATCCACTTTGAGAGGGTGAGACTTCGATAATTTTTAATTAAGTCTAGTAGCTGCATCATAAGCAAACTGTGATGGAAAATCATAGATGTTTATATAGTAAATCACAAAAGCATAAATTCAAAACATAAGTTTAAGTGGGAACCACAGAAGAGCCATGTCAATGGGGAACCTGCTGCTATTTGTCTCTGGTAATAACAGTTATAAAAACTGGTATAATTATATAGAATACTTAAAGAATCTATCCTTCAGAAACTATTTAATACCCATTATTTGCTGGGAACTTACACATATTTTATCTTCCTCAAAATAAGCCTTTTCACAATTCTGGGATTTAATAAAAATGATTTAGAAACTACATTGCAGAAAAGTTAAATATGTTTTCTTGCAATTAGATAATCCTTTATAATTCTAAACAATAGTAGGTCTTTCTATTATTATTCCCCAAGAATTATTATTTTGCATGTGGCATAAATGTTCCTGATTTTGTGTGGATCAGAAAATTACTGTGATAACCTAACAGAAGAGATTATATTAGTACAAATTATATAGAGATTTTTAGACATAAAATTATATGAATTTCTGGTGAAATAACTTCTGGACAAATACATGTGCAAAATATCTATCTGGATTTACAAAATAAATATAGCAGCCTCTACTTCTGTTTATCTCAGTCGGAAATTCATCATTAAACATTATGAAGATTATATAACCTAATGTGAAGGACAGACTAAGTTTTGCTGCAGTAACAGCTCAGAAGTTTCATAACTTGAAAGAACAACTTTTTCTTTCTTATGGGAACTTTGCTAGAATGTTGGGTAACTCTACAAAAAGTCTTTCTGCCATAAAATGCCTCAGCATTGCACCTTCACGTGAAGACCTACTTCATAATCCCCATGTCAGTGGAAGGAGATAGTTGGAGAGTCTGTCTACTGATTTAAAAGCATCTGCATTAAGTTATTCCATCCAGAGGTGCTTTATGTCATTTCTACTAACACTTCATTGTCAAAATAATTCACACACTCATGACTTAAAGTTGAGCCTAAGTTAAGTGAAGTAGAGGTAAACACGCTCCTACTGTATGCCAAAAAGAGAGGAGTGCTGGCTCTCGACCTTACACCTGGTTTGTTCAGTCTTCTTCTTGTGTATATGCACCTGTCTGATTCCCCGCCACCGCCGCCAGTCCCTCCCTGCCATCTCCATTGCGGCAACCATAGGATATCTCCATTACCCTGCCCATGTTCTGACACCCCGCATCAGGCCACCTCACACCCATGACAGGGACCCTTGTCACCGCTGCCTGGTTCCAAAGCTCCACACTGGACCCGCAGCCTGAATGCTGGGATCTCCTCTACATTGTGCCTCTGCTCTGACATCCCAGGTTGGGTTGCCACTTCTACCCTCTTGGACAATGCTTGTGTCTCCCATGGCTAAGCACAGTCTATGTCTCTGCCTCTGACACTCACGTCAGGCCCTGCCCTTCCCACTGGGGATGTCCTCCTCGCCCAGGATGGGCTCTGACAGCCCACTCTGGACCCCTGTGGCCCCCCACCCACCCCCTGGCGCAGATGCTCAACTGCTTGGCTCCACCTAATGGCTACTTAAAAGTTATGTTGGGAGCTCTAAAAGAAAGCAATCTCTTCACACTTAAATCTGCCATGTTTTTAATATAAATAGTAATAGGTTTAATTGGAATAAAAATTGAAATTTATATTAAATTAAGAGCCTCTAAGTTTTTGAACCCTTGCTGCGGATCCCTAACAAACATGGTTTAAAGAGGAAAAATAATTTTCAAAATGTTTTCTGCTGAGTATAACAACAAACTCTGTTAATTCTCATTATGTAGTTCATTATCCGTGTAGAGCAAGAAATGAGAGCATAATTATTTTTGCAAAGTTCAGAATGACCTGATAGTATAACTTCATCAGCCAAATTTTAGTGTGCCTGTACGCCTGCTTTATACATGCAGAGAATAGATGCAAATTGAAATCAAATTATGCCCATTTTCTCAAACAATTAGTGGTCTTTAATAATTACATTTTACAGTATAACCCACTGAGGAGAGGAATAGTTCTATTTTAACTTGTTCAATTTTTACAGCTAAATGATTTTAATTCTAAGAGCCAGGGGGCCCTTATATTTCCTAGAAGAATGTGAAGAACCTGAAATCTATCATGTGTGTATATACACACATAACTCTGACTTCTAAACCAACACTGTCACTTCCTCATCCTCTCACTATTGACTTTGAAAAAGGGGCTCTGCTTCATCTGTCCTTCCAGGACCACCACACAGGACTTACGCAGATTCCACAGTAGGAAGTCGTCTTTTTAGCAAGGAAAAAAAGAGGGGGGAGGGGAGAAAGTGGGAGACCGTGCTGGAGCAGAATCTCCTGAGGTCTTGCTCTTACAGTTCAGTTCCCCGAAATCATGCCGCTGCCAATGTGCTTTTCTCCCAGCAGTAGTCTGCTCTCAAAGGAATAGGGGCTGCAGGAGCAGGCAAAGTTATGAGCATCTTAATACTATCATTCGTAGCAGACTAACAGCCTCTTCTTCACATGAGCCAGTCCACTTTATTAACTTTGTTGCCATCAGCTTCCCTATGTGAACTCTGCACTCTGGCTGAGTCAACACTGCCAGTTCCCAAGGTCATACCTGCCAGCGTACCTTTGCTTTATTTTTTTAAATTCTGTTCAAATGAGTCTCCCTTCCTTCTCACCTTTCCTGTAATTCTGCTTGTCCAAGTCCTGTTCCTTTAAAACTCGTCTCAATGCCTCTCACCTGAGGCATTTTTCAATCCCCCAAAACAAATGGCATCTGATGGTTTTGAATCCCAATTATACCAAAAACCTTTTTTAACATTATATGCTAATTAGGGCTATACTTATTTCTATGTTTATCATATCCCCTCTACTACCCTTCCCCACGGAATTATAGGACCCTTACGAGTAGCAGGAACTATTTCGAATCCCTCTAGTTATCCCATGACTCATTGGACCTAAACAGTGCATTTGTACTCAATACATACATATCTAATTGTTTTGAACAAGTTCTTATTCTTTTATTTTTAATCTTCCATCTAAATTGTAAGAACTTCAATGCCAGAACCAGAAACATCATAGATTTGTTAAATGTATCCTAACAAAGCTTTTAGAGACTTGAGGTTTGGAGAAAAAAGTTACTTTTTTACTTCTAAGAGACAAGTTCCACAGACTAGCTGGTATTTTTATATGACTGTGGAAGCTCATTTATTTCTGGCAGAATTTCATTGAAGTATTATCAATTCTTTCCCTTTGATGAATGATAGAAAGGTTAAATAATTACATGAGTATGAAGCATATATATTTATGTATAAGAATTTTTTTAAAAATACACCTACCACTAATTTTGTCATGGGTGACATTTTATAATTTCCCCAGCACAATGAAAATATTCCCAGATGTCTGGAATTAGATCTTCCCATGAATAATAAATAAATTCAATATTATATCTATCAATTTTTCTACCATAAAATTATTCCCAAAACAACATGACGGTGCTGCAATGACCGATTACTGCAAGCTACGCTTTAGAATTGCCATATCGTTATTATAATTAAAACCACATTGGGGCTTATCTGTACACGTATCCCGACATCAGACCCAAACTGCTGATGTGGCTTTAATGTGGATTGGGGCAAGGAAATAAATAGCCTTTATGTCTGTAAACTTAACAGCTATCTTGCAGTTCCTCGACACATTATGCTGAGGTTGTAGTTTTTTTCTTATCAGTTTTCCAAAGCCAACCAGTTAATTCCAAAGTCAGAAACAATTCAGAGTTTTAAAATCACAGTTTAAACAGCATTGTACTCACAATGAAAATGAGGTAAGTAAACACATTTTTTGTAGAGCAATAATTTTGCTCTTAAATACAAATACATGGTTAATACAGTTATTTTATTTTTTTTCTATAATTAGCATATATTTGTCTGAGAGAAAAGATTGGATAAATCTAGAGCCTCAGGGAATGAGTAATGAGAGTACTCATTTACTTCTCCCCAATCCAATTAGTCTGTTTTAGGCTTCGTTCCTATTCAAATCTTAAACATCTTTTCAGAAGCTGCCAGGGTCTCTGAGCTTTGTGATGGAAAGTAGGATATGAACTACGACAGATGTTTTCACCTTCTTGCAGCAGGGGACATTGATGAAATGCTGTTTAATGCAGGTTACTCTGATGTTGATCCTATGTTCTACACTGCATAGGTGACTCTAAACTGCAGGTAAATGCTCACATAAATTGCCTACTGATTTATTTGCTTAATACAGGGATGTCCTTACTCATAAGTGACATGGTACCTGAAGAGCAGCTCAGACGTGGATTCATGGTTTTGTTTATGACTCTTATGTAAATCTCTCAAACTTTTGAGGTCATCTTCCATGTTACAATCACTAGATATTGAATCACCTTTTCTTAATTATTTTTCACTGTTTAAAACTTGCTTTCCTAATATCTAAAATCTGTCTTTTATTATATTCAATCTTTCTTTCATTTACTATCATAAATATTTGTAATGAACATGCAAGATTTGCACCATTCCCATTCACAACCAGTTATTTTCTGCTCCTAAGATGAAATCCAGAAACTACGTTAAGTGTGAATACATCAAATTGTCGATAAAGTAAGCAGTAAATTCCTCCAACACTCTGCTTTTTATTTTTGTATTGGAATTATAAATAGCACAGTGGTAAGAAATTGGACTCCATCAACTCCTTGTTGTTACTGTTGGCCACATCATTTAAGCTGTATGGATTCATCCACTTTATGATTTTTAACATGTGGTTATAAAATAAAGTCCCACTTAAAAAGAACTTAGAATAGAGCAAGAACATAAAAAAAAGTCTTCCATAATGACAATTCCAGATCACATTCTATTGATTAAAAAACACAGCTATTTTACTCTTTATCAGCTCTGTAATTATTGCATCTTACAGTGAACACATTTTAAAACTACTGTGGCCAGGCAGCAGTTAGAGCATTGTTGTCATTGATAGTACATGTCCACTTCGTTGTTATTCCTGATGGCACTAGCAATCCTATGATGATATTTCTGCCAACAAACAAACAAAAACAACTACGAACTATTTGAGAAAGAAACTAAACTCTTTCTCAATTGCTTATTCAAACTTTGTATTGTTATCTTCTGGTGCCATTAAGAATGCAACAGCATCAAAACTTAGAGATGGATACCAGTATCCTGAAAGGAAACCCTGGACACAACAGGGGAAACTTTTTTTTTTTAAAGAAATCTTGCATCAGCAACACTTTTGATGCCACAGAGATAATACTGTGTAGGAGAACACACACTTTGATGAGTGCTAGTTAAACAATGACTCAAAAAAGTCATTAAAAGAAGTTTTAGGAATACCTTCCCTTTTAATGCATGCAAAAGAGTGATGTATTTCTTAAGAGCTATGTAAATAAATCATACAAAGCTATTTCAATAAGCATACAATAAAAATTAGAGTGGATTTAAAAAGAATTTTGTACTTAATTTGCAGCCATTTCTCTTTCTTTGGGACACGTGTAGTGATGGTACATCCCACAGCCAGTGACACCTTAGACCTGAAGAAAAACAGTATTCCCATTCCTACATGATTTTTCCAGTAATGCTATGGAAGATCAGTAAGCATTAATTGATTTTTAAAGGCTAATACATTAAAATGAGCAGCACTTTAAAAGCTGTAATTAAGAATTTCAATTTTGGAGATAACATTTGAAAAATGCATTGGGTTTTCTCCAACCACAGAGTCTTAATGCCTATGTTTCTTCTGGTCAGCAATCACAGAGGCTTCATTTATACTCCATTTTCAGCTTCTCTGGAGAACAGTGGCCTCTCTCTTTTAGGTCCTCCATAGTTTCCCCAAAACAGATTTCATGTACACCACAGAGTTTAAGTTTTAAGCAACACCATGCCAAATGAGGTAAGATTAATATGCAATTTGTCTTCCTAGCAATGTGCTAGTTATATGCTATGTGCTAATAAGTAACAGGTATCATTGTTACTGCTAATTTCAAAAAACAGAATGATAAGGTTTCTGTTGGCACCATTCTAATCTACTAATGTTGTCCATTTTTATAGGTGGAACTCACTGTCCAAACACAAGTGCTTTGCAAGAGGTGCGCAGCTGTAACGAGCATCCCTGTACTGTGTATCACTGGCAAACTGGTCCGTGGGGCCAGTGCATTGAGGACACCTCAGTATCGTCCTTCAACACAACTACAGCTTGGAACAGGGAGGCCTCTTGCTCTGTTGGCATGCAGACAAGAAAAGTCATCTGTGTGCGGGTCAATGTGGGCCAAGTGGGACCCAAAAAGTAAGGGCTTTAGAATGTCACCAGTAAATCCTGTGGCCAGCCATGCAGGGGATTGGCAGGCTTCACTTGCTTCGTGAAATGGAACATTGTGATGCTTGTCATACCTATCCTCAAGAGTAAGATTTGTTTGTTTTGAATGTCAGTCGCTGATAAAGTTTTAACTGCTTCAGAGTCTTGTGCCTGGAATTCATAAATTCTGTGGAAATCTTTCTGTGTGATACCTACTTCCAGTTTTATAGTAGCACTTTCTGCTTTTATAGTGAGGCAGTAAAAGAAGTGCTTGCTTCAGGCCTGGCTGATCAATAATGACAGTATACAAAGTCCTAGCAGTGTAGGTCGTCCATGACCGCTTAGATACCCATAGGCTATGGAAGCTGCCAATCTAGTGTAACTGGGCAGTAGCCTTCTATGGTCTGCCTTTCATTTCCCCTAGGAAATATTATATCAAAAATACTGAGGCTGAACTTATTGCATATTTAATCATTAAATGAATAAGCTATTTACATCCAAGAGAGAGCCTTGGGACAGGATGAGTGTTATGATAAGTAGCAAAACCACCACTTTCTTACTGTGCTTATGAATAGTGTAATAACAAGGCAAACAGTTTTCAAGAAAGGAGGACAAAGAATTAGTGAGTTGGCATGTTATATGTGCCTTGTGAAAAATATAAACAAAAAAATTCATGGCATAACTGGGCTAATCATTCTTAGATAAAATTAATAAGTCAATTCTAAAAATAAATCCTTTCAGGGGAAAAACTTCTTTATCTTTTGAGATTTAGACACCACAGATCTCTTATAATTCAATTATCTTAGCCATATGAAACATTGGAAGTGAAACTGGTCAAGTTTGCATTGCTGTGAAAATGGCCTCATAATTTCCAAATACTTGGCCATTTGCTTAAATATGTGAGCTCATAAGCATTCTACTTAAACTGATTCTGGCTTAAGTTTTCAGAGTTTATTGAAAGGATTCAATGGAAAAAAACAGTAGTAATGAAGCACTCAGTAAATCTTACAAATTGATATCTTCTCTTAAAAGTTTGAGATACTTCTTAGTGTTTCAGGGAAATGATAATATACCTGATGTATGAAAAACCCCAAGGGATTAGTAGGAGTCTCATTATGAGTTTGTTTTTTTTAATTTGGCCAGCACTCCAGACATTAGGGATAGTTTGCCCCCATACTTTGTTTCTATAATTTGAAATTAGAAAACATATTAGGACACATATGGCAAAAAGAGTTGACTAAATTGAGAAACTATTTCACATGCTTAATAGGTAGCCCCAAACCAATATTTTAATAGAAATAATGCTAAAGTTGTGTTGAATCTAACAAAGGCAATTAATGTGCAGGGTATTAAAATTCAATAGCAGTAACAGCAGAAGCAGAAATCCCAAGTTCTGGAGGATTCTGGGCCTTGCTGGGACAAGTATGCAAGTAGAAATAGTCACCACAAGGGGCTCTAACCCGACCAACCTGTCATGGCACAAGATGGAGGGTTATTCTGCTCAGCTTCTATGAGTAAGCTCATTCTGTTCCTGTTCACGTTACCAGTAATCACCTTTCAAATGATGCTATTGATATTTTCCTCTCTTATGCAAACTACAAAATATTTTGCTGAACAATGTATGTACATGCGTACAAGCATATATGTGAAAAAGCATGCTGGATTAATGTTATTAAGTCGTTCAATAGGGAGGGTATCCTGATGCCCCATGTTGGACCACCACAATAATCCATTAAAATGTGCTTTGCCCTTGCAGCCTTTATGCAGTGACCTGATTACATGGAGATATTTGTTAAATCAAATGGATTTACTTTGCCTTTAAAGGCCTGAAAAAATAAGCAAATACTGTAAATTCAAAAGAAAATGTTACTGCCTGTATGCTTAAACAGTAGGTTAAATTCCATGAATGCTTTTGCGTACTAGGCATTTGAAACAGAAATGCAAATAGAAGCCTTGTTTTAAACTCCTCTTAATAAAACAGATTACTGTGCAATGGTAAAATCAATGTTATTGATCTTATCTATCCTCCAAGTAACAAATTTCAGCTCCTATCACATCTGTTTAATTTGACCTTGAATAAGATTTGGGGGAAAATCAATCCCTTGATTTAAACCACAAACACTAAATACAAACAGTACAAAAGAGAAAAGAAACATGTTGACTGAACCAATTGCCTCGCCAAAGGAAGTCTGAATTTATTTTATTGGATGTAATCTAGGCTGTATAATTTATCTTTCTGTGTTCATTTAATGGCTTTATTGTTAGTAATTTTGTTCTCCACAGTTAGCCAAGTATCTTGCTGTGGATATTTCTAAACTAAGACAAAAATTTGAAGGTTGTCAGTGATAGCAGTATAAATTGTACTGACTTACTGAGGGCTAAAATTTGAAGAGCATGTAATTGAATAATGCTCTCCCATGATTTAAGTTATAAAATTGCCTCATTGAAAAACGTGTGCTTCCAATCATAATTACTAATCAATAATTTTATTGTTCCAAAGAATTAACAGGATTATATGTGGAGTTTTGCCATATAATGTTTCCTGGTTAAGTGTGAAGGTTAAATTATAATTCCAGTGATTTATAGTCTCAATTGTAGCAATACTTTTAACTTCTGTGATTCTAAATTTCTTTGTCATCCACTGAGATTGAGTAGTCATAGCAATTAGAAAAACACAAGCTTATTCTTAGCATAAATGAGGGAGATTTATTTCTGTTTGAAATGCTGAATCCAATATATTTGTTTAAATTCACTTCTAAATAAACCCTAGTGTCACAGAATGAGAGAGGAAAACATGTATCCATATAATAGAATAGAACATAATATTTATGTATGAGATATAACATGTAGATAAATGATTATAATATAAAATATATAAAAATGGAGCATCAGCAAAGTGCTATGAAGAAATTATGGGGAAAAGATTAATGATGTTATTTTTTCACTCATATTTTTTTTCCGAAAACCTGATTAACTTACTTGTTAAAACACAATTTATCTTGACCTACAAAAAAGTTGGCTTCTCCCATGGGGAATATTTTTAAATCCCATATTTCACTAATTTCCTAAGTTATTTCATCAAGTTTTGCTGGTTGTTTAGTTTATTTCTTCGGTGTCTTTCAGCCTATTTGTTAATGATTTATATGACCTCAAAAGAGTATTTCTTAGGAATCATAACATTGTTACTTTTAGTTCCGTGAATTATGTTATTACAGTTTGTTTTCCTAATACACATTTTCTTTTAATGTTAGTGCTCATAGCCAACATTTGACTACTAGCAAAAGTAGAGTCAGATTGTATAGATGCAGACAAGGGGAGCAGAGCAGTGTATTTAAAACTTATACATCAGCCCCCTAAAATCATCTGTTAGGACGTGAAAACCTTATACAGTATAAGACATTTCATTGTTTTGTAATTATTTTTCTTTTGTGTTCCAAACAAAGAATATATTTTGCTTTATTTTTTAAATAACAAGTTAGTTGATTTTCCCATAATTTATGCCAAGAACACAGTGTTTTATTTTTCTTTAAATTACTAAAGAATTTTTGTTTTGTTTATGTTTACTCTTTCTATTTCAAAAGTATTATAGCTTATTAAAATGTTTAAAATATTTAAAATTCCATAATTTGAAACTAGGAATGTAATGGAAGAAAAAAGACATTAAATGAAACTAGGACTAAAGCAAAAATTACTTATCATAATGGCCTGTACACTTTCACCATTTTAGTACTTATTTAATATGAAGTATAGCTATAAATACAACTTTGTTTTTGAGCATGCACTGCATACAAAATATACTCTATTATAAATTTGTTATGCATAATTTGTAAAAATAAAATGCAGAATAACTTAAAAATTTATAATAAGCAATAAGCCTATTTAGTTATACAAAGATGTAAAATTGGGTCCTTAAATTGGTAATTTGAATTTACACAAATTTTTTTAAAGTATGTTAGAAAATACAAATTTACTAATGGGAAGATTATTATAAGGGAATAAGGTATAATTATTACATTTGTCCTAGAGATAGCACAATTATTATTATTAAAATTACACATCCTGGTTTGAGAAACTTTCTTGTGGTCCAGTTTAGAAGGATTAAGATGTATGGTTCTTGTCAAAAGCAAAGCTCCTGAAAGTTAAATGGCACAGATTGGTGACTATTTAGCAGTTTGAGCAATGAAAATTCTAACCACAGTCAACTACCTCGTTTCTGGGTTTACTACAGAGGCTTAGTAATTTCCCTGTGCTTCTCCTAGGTGTCCTGAAAGCCTTCGGCCTGAAACAGTGAGGCCCTGTCTGCTTCCCTGTAGAAAGGACTGTATTGTGACCCCATATAGTGACTGGACATCATGCCCTTCCTCATGTAAAGAAGGTATGATCTGCAGAGTTCTAGAAACTATTCCCCTAGAAAACCAGTCACCAGCACCTCCCAGTTGTTCTGACTGAACAGTGTTTGTGAGTCTTACATGGGACTGTGTAATCCTGTTCAATGTGAATGCTATAAAATTTCAGTTTTTTTCTAGAAAATAATATACCTTTAGAATACCAAATGAGTGAATTTTATGCCAAAACTGAATTAAAACTTTATGAAATAAGTCAAAGAGAAAGGATTCTAGATGTTACTATATTAACAATGTTTCCTTTAACATTAATAATAAAGGAATGTATTGTGCAGCCTTATGTATTTCAAAAAGAGTGTCGAGTGACCTTATCAGTATTCATAGCTTCCATAGCTTGCCTATTTCCATGGCAAGAAATAGCCATGGCACCAGATTCACTACAGGTTCGATTACACAACCCCAAGGATCGGAACAAAGAAAAGAAGGCAATGGTCAATTTCTTCCTCTACCAATTCCTAACATGCCACGAGGCATTTACAAGATGAGGATTTTTTTTCTCACTTTTTTTTTCCTTTCTATTATTCACAAAGACTCTCTAATGTCATGATAGATACCTTGATAATTCCTTACCCTCAAGGAGAGGGTTCTTTCTCATTGCTGCTGAGAAAGATATCAACAACCTTCAGGTGACTCATGCACTGAACACATTTTCTCTTTCTGTCACAAATATCATTATCTTCTATTTTTAATTTTACTCTTGCAACAGAGATGATTTTTTCTTAAATTCTTTTTATGCTTTTATTTTATTTTTGATTCTTGACTCTTACTAGAGGCATTCAATTAAGACTCAACTTCTAGTTTAACATTTATTTTAAGTTACCAAAAACTCTTTAAATCTTTAAGATATTATAAGAGATCATACATTTAAAACTGGATTTTTTACAGCATAGTTGTTATTTTATATAGTTAAAACATGATTTCCTTTTTATGCTTTTTCTAGTTTAAGTACCATTGAAATATCAAATAAAATTAAATTACAAAGTAAACAAGAATAGAAAATTTTAATTTGAGAAGTCTTTCAAGCATCTAAAAAAGCTTTTTGGACAAAAGAAGTTGGTATTAACTTTTCAAAAATGCTGATTTCATTAATACTGCTAATAAAACAATGTTATTTTTGCCATTTTTTCCTAGCTTTTTTTCTCTTATCCCCTTATTTTCTTAAAACCTAAATATATGATATCCTTAGCTTTGGTCATATTCAGCAATAGAATTATACTTTCAAATATGTTAATATTTCTATGGTAATTGTTGGTTATTCATCATTACAATGAAAAAGGTTATTTATTACATGAAATTAATATGTTTGGAAATTTTAGTCTCAGTATTTTTATACTTGATGTTTAATGTCAGCATAAGTTCATTTACTAATAATCCTAAAACATGCAGTTACATTTATAACCATATGGTTAATAATCTAACACAAATATAACATTTTTATATGAAGTTTCTGAAAGCAAGGAAAAAAATTTGCCTCTTCCTAATATCAGGTGTTTCCTTGTATTGAGTAAAGTATTTAAAATAAAAGTTCCTTTGTCTAAAGTACTTCAAGTAAATAAAATAAAGTAAAACAAAATATTTTGTTAAATAGACTCTCAGTCATTCATAAAACTCAGGAAATAGGTCAAATTTTCTCATTTCTTTAGGCTTTCATTTGAAAATAATTTGGAATATTGCAATGTATCCAGGAATTAGGAACAGAAAGAACTCTAGGGAAGGGTAAGGGAAACCCATTATAGGAACAACTATTAGGGAAAATTTTGTTGAAAAGAAGGTAGAGGAGACCTTTCTGAAAAACAGAATACATAAGAGAATCCCAAGTAAGGATCAAAGACATCAGGAAAGTCTTAGATGACCACAGGGAAGAGGTTCAAGAAGCGACAACCAGTCTCCTGGAACTTAGAGAATGTTGAGGAAAGTCGAGATGTGAAATTGGAATGAGGAATAGAGGCAGATTATGGAAGACTGAGTTAGATTTACAGAGAGAGGAATGTAATTTTTGGTTTTTGAACATAGAAATAAATAAAGGGTTTCATGGTATAATGAAACGAGTGGACTTTGAACCAGCAAATCTGGTGTAGACACCGACTTTGGCCACTTAGCAGTCAAATGACCTTAGTCAGATATGTAAACCATCCAAGCCTTGGTTATAACACCTGTGACTCATTTTATGATGCAAAAGAGATAATATATAATAATGTTCTCTATGCTTGCTCAACCATGGTCTAGTTTATATATCACATGTTGTCTCATCTATAGTGATTATAAGTTCCTGTAGTAAAGGCATTAGACACTGCATATGGTCAGTATCTAGTAAATGTTTTGATTTGACATACTGAAAGCAGTACTTCTTAGAAGACTAATTACATGTCAGTTTTGGAAAGTATTCAGATAATGAAAAAGAAAAACTAATATAAACTTATGATTAGTATTTATTGAGGATTTTCTGGTAAATTATTTTCAAATGATTCCTGTCATACTCGTATCTATTGAAAACCTTTTTCATTCTTCAAAAATTTTTCAAGTAACCATAATATTCCAGGCACAGTGTTAAATACAAATAAACGAATAAACAAAGAAACCAATATCCCTGCTCTCAGGAAGCTTACATTCTGGTTGTTCAAGACAGTCAAGGCATTTAATGATTAATCTCTCGGTGAGTATAGAGGATCAAGGGAAGGATGCAGGGGATTTGGGGAAGGAGAAGATGTGACATATTTACGAACAGTGCAAAGGTGGTCAAGCTAATAATGTGTGGTAAACTGTGTAGAAAGCAGGGAGTGCCCATTTAGTCATGTCTTTAAAAAGGGACTCCTCCACACAGTCGCCCGTGTTTCTCCAACCATGGTCATCTGCAGCTGCCTGAGTACAGGAAAGTAGAGGAAAATTACTGGTTTTTATTAAGACTGGGACTTTTCCAGGAAAGTAGAAGAAAAGGAGAGAGGAACGGGGATTCAAAGATCTTTTCAAGGGATTACTTCTAATAATAATGGAATATGGAATTGAAGTTGAGTTGGGATGGAACTGAGGTCCTGAAAAGGTCGATAGATACCAAAAAAAGTGATGCAGAAATTGGATTGGCCATTTTAATTAAGTTTGAAGAATTTTAGTAAGATGAGAACGAAAGTAAGTGAACTGAAGGAGAAGTGACCAGAAAGTAAAATGTTTGAAGACGAGAGTGCGCAGGTACTAATGATAATAATGACATCAAGGGATGACCAGAAGAGCTAGTAATTGACATGAGGTGCAGGAAAAGGTCATTGGAGGTGGAAGCACAGTAATTCAGAGTCCAGTGCCTTGGATACAATAACCATTGTAGCTGCCAAACTGCCAAAGAGGTGACAGGGCTAGAGAAAGAGAAAGGATCACAGTGAGGGGCATCCTAAAGACATTAATTAATGTGTCAGTCGACTGTTATAAAGTGGATAGCTAATGGTAAAGTTGATGACAAGTGCTTCAGAAGAGTTGGAGATTTTTAAAGGTAAGGGGAGAAAAAAGACTGGGAAATGGCTCGGTAGAGTCAGCTTCCACTGCAAAGAATGTAAAGGAAACTCTCTAAGAAAAGATAGCAGATGAAAAAAGCACGAGATCCAGAGGGTGCAGTGGTGGAAGGATTAGGGGATGGAAGAGAATGAGAAATTGAAAATCGAGGTATGCACACAGGTAGTGCTATGGGTTCAGGTGATGACGAAAGACACGTGGCATAGAGGGCGCTAGTTTCTCGTGAGTAATGAGCAAGCGAGATCTAATGGGTTTAGTCACCATGGTCTTTTGGGAGCGGGCAGGTAGCTTCTCTAAACTGAAGTGCCTCACGCCATTGTGATAGTCTTCTCCCCTGGTGACCCTGGGGTGGCGGTGGTCAAGAGTACAGGGACGCCAGCTCAGACCTCTTCTGTCCTGGGAGCAGGAGGTGCTCTGCGGGGCGGGGCTGCGTTTGGTCGGGCATGGGCCGTCTCACCCGGGCCAGGAGGTCAGCCCGGCCTGCTCTGTCCATCAGCTCTATGCAGATGGAGTCTCCTCTGACAAAAGGCTTTTACAAACTCTGAATCTAGGCACACAGACTTAGGAAGAATAACTGTAATTGTGTATTGAGGAAATAAAGACAGACTAGGGGGTAGGAGAGGGGCTGCTGTTGGACAACAGTGCCAAGACGCTTTGTGCACCTGCAGAAGCCTTTTCTGTTTTGCCCGTAAACTGCTGTAACTGAGAACAAGGATACAATGATGTTATAGAAAACTAGCCTTTTGTTGTAAGGAAAATAAAGCGATGATATGTGGTTCGTTTTTTATTATATGGTATGAAATGGGAATGGCCAAATTTTATTGGAATTACACTGACTTTCACACACAATTAAAAAATGCAAAACAAAGTGGAATGTTCAGGGATAGATAACAGCCACAGAAAATTAATTCAAGGATAGGGTTGTTGTTTTTTTTTATTTAATTTTGCTGGCAAAGTCTAAAGTTTATGAGTTTTGAATTAATGAAAGTGTGGAGTTAAATTCCTTTTAAAAATCAATTTAAAGAGGTAAAATTATGCTTTAGTATTGCCGAAAATGGAACACAATAGCTTAACATTCCAGCAGGAACAAAAAGAGTTATTTGAAATGTTATTCAGCCCTTTCTCAAGATACATCTTGAAAAATCAATGCCAATAAAGATCAGTATTGAGTAGAGAGTAGTTTAATCCTTAAACCAGTGCACTGGTTAACTTCTTTCAAATTTTCATAAATTTTACAAAGGGTGTTTCTGAAAAAGGGGAAACATGCATACATATATATTATTTGTAACTGACTTTAAATAATCAATACTTTTGATCAAATAATGCATTTAGCTGCTTAAATTCTGTTCCCTCCTTTTTTCAACTACATTTATTGACGAGAGCTAGGAAGAATATTGCAGAGGTGTCTATTCTACCTTGATACCCTTAAGCAGTATGAGCCAAGAACTACCCCAAAGATATGAAAAATACCTTTACATTTGGCTTCTTGTATAAAGCATTTCTAATCTCCTATCACTATTAGGCTCCTCCAGTATGCTAGTCCTTCCACATCCAGCCCAACAAATCTTAGTTTTGCCTGCCCTTTAAATTCTTCCACCAAGTAACTTCTCTAGTGAAATTTATGTCTTAAGATATCTGAAAATTGCTATAACTGTGAGAGATTACATACCATCTGAATCTGTGTTCTCCATTATGGCATAATGGTTTTCTGAATGTATAATCCCTTTATTTTCTGTTCTTATCCTAGATAGGTATTTTCAAGTATAAACACTACAGCAATATTCCTTTATTTTTCTGATGCTCATTATTTCCAATGGACAAAATGATACCTTATTTTCTATAAATCCTCAATGCACAGGCTTAGTCTCCATATTTTTACTACTGTAAAGAAACAGATGAAAAGAAATAGAAGGCATTAATCCAGCTGAGAAGAAATGAAATAAATATGTCTGCCCATTCAGGAAATATTTATTAAGTCCCTGCTATGTGTGACTATTTTTCTAGGTGTTAACACACAAAGATAACTGGAACCTATATTTGTATATTAACCACACATAATAAATTGGATGTAAGTAAGGGCAGGAAATTATGAAGGTTGTGAAATTCTAGTTTGCCAGCTCAAATTGTTAGTGAGGAACCTTCCACTTTTCTTGTTTAATGTGTACCATAGCTTTCCCCTTGTCTGCACTTTGATCTGAGAGCTCTGTCACCTAGGAGAGCTCACCAGTGCTGTTTCGTTGAGTGTATAAGTAATTTCTTAACTGAGATCTGAGAAAAAGCAAACCTCTTAGTGAGTAGAAACATGATGTCATGGCACTTCCAGTGTAACCCCATTGAAATTCCTCTCCATGTGTTACGGGTTTAGAATGTTTTACCTGTATTAGGTTACAATCTCCGTCCTGTGGGCTACACAAAGTTAAAAAGTATTTGAAATTTTAATAAGAATAAATGGAATGCCAAATTATGGAAATGCAAAAGAATTATAATAGTCTTATATATCAAGTACAAATTTGCAGAGGTTGTGATGAGAAGTCACTAGAATGTTTCAGGGTTGTACATTAGGTGATATTTTTGCTTTCAAGTCACTAAACAAAGTAGAAATGAAACACTAACATTTGATTGCTGCCTCCCAAACCTGAATCACCCTGCCTATGTATCAGGTGTCATCCAGATAGTTAATGAACTGAAGCTTCAGTCTGTAAGTTACCACTGATGCTGAACTCACAGTCAACTACAACCTCTGGATCTCTTCTTCCCACCTCCATGTCTATTGTCCATCCATAGGTTGAGAAGGGTTGGACTATTATTGACCCCTGGGATAGAAGGATCCTTCCTTCGTTCCTTCCTTCCTTCCTTCGTTCCTTCCTTCTTTCCTTCCTTCCTTCCCCAAGGCTAAAGAAATATAAGAATGGTCACTTAGTATATCTACCTGTTTAAAAAGTTTAATGACAGATCATAAACAAAAGAAAAAGAATATAAATGTAAAAGGATGATGGAGTCAAGGAGTAAATGGGGGAAGAAGAGAAAAACTATACTATAAAATCAGAGTTAAGCTAAGCTCCTGCAATTGAAAAGAAAATTAGCTCCGAGAGTCTGGAGAACAAAGCAAAAAATAGAAACACAGTGATTTCTTAACTGATTGTCAGAGGAAACAAAATTTTTCCTAGCTCTAAATTATTAGAGGAATTTATCAGCTGGGCCTTAAAATAGGAGTCTTTGAACAACAAAATGGATGAAGACTGCATTAGCAATTTTATTAGAAGTCCTATTGGCATTTCTTAGGTCTTTCCTAGAGCATGTCAGAGTTGGAGCTAGCATTCAAACTACCACTAAAAAAGTTGATGACAATATTTTCAAATACTTAGTTCTCTGCCACTTACTAACTCCAGTCCCTAATTCCCCACTCCATTACCTGTAGTATACCAATTATTCACTAAAATAGTTAATACAGTCATTAATAGCACAGGTTTCCCCCACAATGGGAATTATCCTAGAAAGTTACATGTGAACCCTACCTAGAATCTGAAATTGGGACAAGACATACAAGGTCGTCTATTCTAGTAGATTTTAAACCTGGGTGTTCATCGCAATTCCCTGGTAAGCACTGTAAACATCAGATTTCCAAACAGCTCCCCAAAATTCTGATTTAGTAGTTCAGGGTATAGGCCAATATATGTTTTTGTTTTTGCCTTTTTAAAGGAATTATCCTATGTTCCTATGTAGTCAAGCATTTAGAAATCACTAATCTGATCCGTTCTCCCATCCAACACAGGAATTTTCAACCCACATTTCTGGAAGCTGGTTGCTCAGACCATGTTGAGAGATTCCTTAACTTCATGAGAACGGATGTTTGATTATTGGAAAGTTCTAATTGTCAAATCATATTTTTCTACTAACATAATCACTTTAATAATGTTTCAGTTAATTTCTGGTTAAGTTTTCATTGTTTGGGACTCGTAACCCTTCTAAATTTCTCTGTTCCTATAGTTTTCCATATTAAATATTTAATGACCTTGCCAAAAAATGTAAATGCAACATGGAAATTCCATTAAAATAATTCTTTAGAGACTTATTTTGTATATAAAATTGTACCATGCAGTGTAAGTTGGAAATATCTTTTATTAAAGTTGGCAAGTCTTGTACATTATCTGTTTCTAATACTAAAAACTTTTGCAAATCTCTATATCAATAATACTGTCCAGCTGATATCTTCATTGTAGATAAATCTCATTTTCTTTGTTTTTTAACATTATTTGGAATAATTTGGAGTAATTACTACTATTCCAAATGTTTCTCTAAAAATTCTGCCTCTATGAAAAGACTTTCACTTCACTACTTATAGCCCTGATCCTTAGAATGAGACCTGAATTGAAGATCTCAGACTGTTTAACATGAGTAATAAATGACTAGAATAATTTATGAGTTATGCATTTCAAATTAAGTGAATAACAAAGAGATAAAATTTCACATTAAAACATGGAGTATATTCTCCTAAGAAGGATTCATTAGATGTGTATGAGTCCCATGTGGTAAGCAGGGCTATGTGAAATGGCATGAAAATAAACTTAAGGTAGAGGAAAATAAATTAATTAGAACTGTCATATTTCTCAAGGGGAACGAAATATACAAAAGAGCAATTACTTTGCAACTGTGCATTAGGAAGGCTAGTTAACTATGGAATTGTTTTCTTTATTCTTTGCATTTTAAAATATAAATTGATTGTATTTTCAATATAAGTGGTCTTTGGGAGAATTTAGGAAATGATTAAACTAGATAAGGCCTTTCATTCTGGGATGTCAAATCACGTGTAGCTAGAGGCTATGTAATTTCTTCACACAAGCTGGCCTTTGGAGAGTCTTTTATCAGTGCAGAGGTTAAAAAGCTGCCTCATTCTAGGGGATTCCGGAATCAAAAAGCAGTCTCGGCACCGGGTCATCATTCAGCTTCCGGCCAACGGGGGCAGGGACTGCTTGGATCCTCTCTATGAAGAAAAGGCCTGCGAGGCCCCACAGATGTGCCAAAGCTTCAGGTAAGAGAGTTAAAGAAAAAGCAGGTGGCCGATGCACTGAGCAAAATACTTCAAGTGCAACCCCGTCCTGCAGGCTCAGTGCAGTTTGGGATGTTTTTGGCTGTATGTGTGATCTCTTGCCTTATTAAAAGAGCTGCTCTTTTACTGAAATTATCTCCAGAGAGACAATTGTATGTAAATTTCCACACTGTATTATTAGCTCCAGAAGTTAGGCAGACTTTCTTATGTTGATATAAACTACAAGAAATGCAGAAAAGTTGTTAATAATTATGAAACATATCTTTTAGAAAGCAATTCTTTTTCCTTAGAGAACTAACCTAAACCTTCCTCCCTCGGCTCCAAAGAGCTCCTGTTCCCCCTGAAGGTTGGCATTCCAGCTCACGAAATGCATCTTATCTCAATGATGCCAATAAGAGGTTTGCTCTTTTCATTTTGGACCATCTCAAAGAAAATTAAGGTTATTCAAGCTATCTATTACCATCTTGATAAATGTTAGAGAAGTTTTTCTTCGGAGCTATTAAAAGTAATTTCCTGATTAAAACTTGATGTGGTACATAATTGCAGTTCTGACAACAAATGAAATATTATGGCATCGACTGATGGAATGTGTGATCACAAAATAGCAATTTAAGGTGAAATTGATGGCAGATTTGCCATCTTAATTTATCTGTATTCAATTCTGAGATGACAAATAGTATAATTGTATGTTTACACTATGATGACAGAACTATTAGACCAAATGTACTTATTTGATGGATTTGTTTTTGTAAAGTGTATTATAGTTGTAGTTTCTGAGTTACCACTACAATGCTAACCAAAAGAGCACGATACAAAAGGCTCAGGACATGAATGTATGTATATATATAACTTGAATAGAAAGTACACATACCTTAACTGAACAAAATGCATCACTTCTGGTACCATTTGGTACATCCACTGGTGGTCCTAATCATTAAAAAGGCTAAATGCTCTCTGTAGAGTAATTCTGATAGAACTTGACTATGATGGCCTTTGTTTCCACTCCCATAGAAAGTACTTTTATGCTTAATGCTTTTTATAATGTTTTGGAGATCTAAATTAAATTTAAATAGGACTGAGAATAGTCAAATTTCTGTCTGCAGTGGTCAAAGTCATGTTTCCATGTCACCAAATCTCTGATTTGCCTGGGATTTTTGCTTCTTCTCCATGAGATTTCTTTGCTTTTCTTGTAGGTGGAAGACGCACAAATGGCGCAGGTGCCAATTAGTCCCCTGGAGCGTGCAACAGGGTAGCCATGGGGCACAGGAAGGCTGTGGGCCGGGACGACAGGCAAGAGGTGAGAGGCTTCGTTCCACAGTTGATTTGCTTTTCATTTTTTCAACATCTCTAACTTAACCACCAGCTCGACGAGTTTGTCATGGTGATGCCATGTTTAGCCTGTGCAGCAGAGTGGATATGAATCTGCTGACCACTCATTCTACCTAACACCAGAACGTGGAAACTTGTTCTTTTTAAATTGTGTCCTTTGCTCTTTGACATTAACCCATAATTTCTCCGGTTGAATTTTTCCCTCATTGATATCTAGAAGATAATCAGACCAAGCTCTTAAGAGTGTTATAGATTGTACACTGCAGTCTGTGGTTGTTATTAGCTTTTGGATCATGGTATTCCATAACACTTTTGCTTGCCACCTTAACAATCAGTATGATCCTTACATCCTTGTCCATCTGCAGTATATATGTGTATGCAAATAGTGTAATATAATTGGTTAACTTTCTCAGAAATTCTCAGCAATGACATCCCCAACGTTGCCATGACTATCCCTGATTCGGTTCATGTGCAATACTGATTTTTACATGCAGATTTATGAACTCAAAACCTCTCATGTGTGGACTGCAATCTGTCTGCACTGCTAGATAATGGAGAATCCTGCAGAAATGAATGATGGAAATATTTCCAACTTGCAATATTATTTACTGAGTATTATGAATAATATTTGCATTTGAAGCTTTGGAACATGATATTTATACATGTATCAAATTCAGTCTTTAGAGAATACATGATTGTTTTTACTTATATTGACTTTTAGCATGTAGTCCCTACGTATATACCTACAAGGTAGCTGAATATACAATTGAAAACACAACCATCACCTCTCTTCGATTCATGAAAACATATTTGGCTCCCTCATTTGTAGTTATATATTTGATGATGATGTACAAGTGTGAACATACAAAATAGAATTTCAGCTTTTGCTGCTGTGACCTGGACCCCTCTTTTCTTTACAATGAGAAGATTACTGTCCTAATTTGAGAAAAAGAGCTAGTTTTTTTGTAAAACTTTTCTGTTTTTATGATCATCCTTTTAGAAGCCTTTATTTGAAACATAAAATTTAGTTTGCAAATAACATTAACCACCTAGTGATTTTTAGGATTTTATTTCATATACTTAATTTTCATTATGTGTCCTCCACCATCAGCATTAGCTAAAAAATACCCATTTCCTTTTACGGTTATAGAGACTTAGGTACATATTTAGAATTCAAAGTCATTCTCCCCATTTCAGACCATTAATCGAGAAGTTGAGCAATACATGATCTTCTTGTCTTGACCTACTAAGTCCTCCTTGAGGCAAGCAGACATTTGTGTGCAATTTGGGTGCTACATGGAGTTTATAATGAAAACAGGTATGAGTTTGGGAATCAGGAAACTAAAACAAGTTTTAGTCCTGTTTTTTCACTAATGCAGTGTGAGTCCTATTCATTACTTCACCTTTCTGGGCCTCAGTTTATTTAGATGAAAAAAAGGATAAGAGGGTTGGACCAAATGATCTTTTAGGATTATTCCAATTTTCATGTTCTACAACCTAGACACAGAAAATACCCAGGGACCCAAGTCTGAAATAAAATTAGGTAAAACAGATGAAAGCCATATTTGTACAGACTACCACTGGGGGAAAATCCGAGATGGTGGAAATAGCAAAGGTGTGAAAAGAGCTTCAGTTCCAAACTCTTTTACTTAACAATGGCAGAATCTTGGGTTGTTTATTTCCTCCCTCTGAGGCTAAGAATATAATGCTTCTCACAGTGCGTTGCACATTTTAAGTCTTCATTAAATATTAAATCCTTCCCCTTTCCTGTTAGATCATGGCCCCAATGAATGTGCGTGTAGGTCATAGTAGGCCTAAAAGCAACAATAGTAACATGGGCCTTTTGTAATTTTGACACAAAGTCTGTATGAACACTGCTTTTTCTGTGATTACTGGTAATCCTTTCATTTCCGAATCTGAAGACTTCCATTCATTCCTCATCCTGGGTCACTACATTGCAGTATCTCCTACCGTGACCCACTCTCACAGGGAAAAGGGGTCCTTGGCTTCCTTCATGGCACCATTTCCTGCCTTTCTGATTGTTTTAGTCTTGGTTTCCTAGTACTGGTTCCTCTTCCTCTGCCTGTACTTCAATAATGATTTCTGATATTGGAATCTTGTCAGACAACTGACTCTGTTTTGGCACTCTTTTCTATTTCCGGGCTATCTGAAAAGAGAAAGTCACTTCTGCATAAATATATCAAGAAGAAACCTCTTAAATTCCATATGAAGATCATTTTTGTTGCCTTGGTAAATTAAAGATTTTTTTTCCCCTTAGTGCTTATATTTCTACAGAACTGTGAAATGCAGAGAATCAAGAGTGTAGAAATAAATTGAGCTAATTGTCAAAAGGCAACATTTTCTTCCCTTGGTCGCCATGGCTGCGTTCAGAACTCTGCATGACGGACCTGTCAGATTCTTGCTATTTTCATCTTCGTTTTATCCAGTCAGAGACTTAAAAAGTGCCAACTTGTGCTGCTTTTTAATGATTAAAATAATTATCTAGTGAGGATTAGCATCAGTCAGCAAGGACTCCAGAGAAGCTGCCCCCTGTCTTCCCTAATACGTCCACTTTTCTAATTCCAGTCACTCATTCAAATATGATTACATTCAGAAGACTGTGTGGAAAAAGCCATGAGTGGCAGGAAAGAGTGAAGAGGTTCAAGCCAAGGAGCTTACATTTGTTGGGAAAATGGCGTCACTGGTAACATTATCCAACATTTAAGGGTTCAAGGCTGGAAATGACCCATTGCAAAAACAATAATTTGAAGCTAAAGAGCTTAAGACCTAACAGATGAGCTGGGATGTGCCTTGTATAATAATATTAGAATTAGTGGAAAAGAAAAAAGAATACAGAGTAAGAGCAATTCTGTAAGCTAAGCATTTGAGGTAGGAAAACTAAAAACATTAAATGTGTTCACAGAAAAGTGGGTATATTGAACAGTGTAGCTCTGAAGACGTGAGCTGGAACCTGGGGTGATTTCATAGAAGACTATAAATGTCAGGATCAGTATTTTAGGCCTTGTTCAATAAATAGTAGGAGTAAGGACCTGATGAAAGCAGTAGTTTATCTGTCAGCATGTACAGAATAAATTAGGATGATAAGACACATGGGACTGGATGCCAGCTAGTTCACTATTACAGCAATTCAGGGATTTAGTAATAGGGACTCATGAACCACAGTAGTGGGAATGGGCAAAAATAAGTGGATTTTCAACATACTATAGAGGAAAATAATTTTAGGACTTAGTGGCAGGCAATAGTAGCAGAAACAGAAATAAACAAGTCAAAGATGATGACATGATTCTTTAACTCCAATATTTTTAGCTTGAGAATAGTTACAATATTGGAGTAAATTCTTGGGTCTGTAAGTAGAACTAATTTTATGAAGTATATTTTGTATATTATGCATTAGAGGTGACAGCAGGGAAGCCGATTAAAAATATCCAAGTATGCATTTGAAATGCAGCTATAGACATAGCTTAGGACAGAAGATAGTAATTTGGGTAAAATTACCAGAAAGAGTTTTGAAGAAGCCACAGAAGAACCTAAGGGCTCTAAAATACATTGCATGCAGAGGGAAAAGTGGTTATTGTATTTTACCTTTAATAGATTTTTTTATATAACCTGTTTGTGTTTGTACACTCTCTAAGGACTTTTTTACCTAAAGAACTTAAGTAGCATTAACTTTAAATTGCTGTTCCCTTCTTGTGTCAGAAAAGACACCATTCGAACTAAAATATGAGCGCTAACTTTACCATTCTATGATTCTAAAGGTAGACATTTCAATCCCATGGATTTTATGAAACTATTGATCCAGACCAGCGATCAGTAAACAATGGCCTGTGCAGCAAATCCAACCCACAGTCTGTTTTTTTAATTATTACAGTTTTATTGGAACATAGCCTTAACCATTTCCTTGCCTGTTGCTGATGGCTGCTTTCATGATACAAGGCAACGCTGAGCACAGTCAGCCCTTCATATCCACATGTTCCACATCTGCAGATTCAACCAACCACAGATGGAAAAAATTTTTAAATGCTACATTTTTGCTGATGTGTACTATGTGGTTAGACCTACAATGGCTGTACTGAACATGTACATACTTTTTTTTCTTGTCATATTCCCTAAACCATACAGCATAACAACTATTTACATAGCATTTACATTATACTATAAGTAATGTAGAGATGATTTAAAGTACATGGGAGGAAGTGCTTAAGTTCTATGCAAATACTATGCCATTTTATATTAAGGGACTTGAGTCCTGGAATCAATTCCCATGGCTACAGAGAGATTACTGGAGCTGTCACAGAAACTGTACATACCCCAAAATCAAAAATATTTTCTATCTGGCCCTTTACAGAAAATGTATACTGACCCCTGCTCTAAATTCTAAAATCATATAATCCATGATATAGTCACAGCTTCTAATAGTACTGAATAGTCATTACCCAATAGGATTTGAAAATTCCTAAGGTTTATCTGGTCACTAGGGGAAAAGTTTTCCAATTCAATTCATCTGCAAAGGGACTGTTTTAGAGTTATGAGAGTAGAGGACTTTTAAGGCAGTCAGAGTGGTTAAAATATATGCTTCTAGGATGAAATTGCTGCATTCTTTGGGGAATTTAGGAATAAAATTTTGACTCTAAAGAAGTCAGTAGTAACAAAAAAGTTAAAAAGACTTAAAGGTGAAACCAGATAATACATAAGATGCGGAAGACAAGAGAGAATGTCCTCATAATTCTCCTGTCTGGAAGACAATAAATCATACCTAAGAACTGGATATCAAGAGTTAATTTTCTAACTATGCATAGAGAAGAAAGAATGTGTGTGTCTCATAATATGCACCACTCAGCAGAACACTTATAAAGTCACCTGTTGTGATTCAGTTTTTCTCAAATGACTTGAACCTTCCATAATATTAGAAAATATTACACAAAAGTCTCTTTTACCAGTGTATTAGGC